AAAGAAAGATGAATCAATGAAATGCAATTACTGGCAGCAGGTGAATTGAGCCTAATAAAAGACATTCAAATGCAGCAGCGTTGTTTTTCAAACTTACAAGCATTTCGAAAATCTTACTACTTCTTATAATACTCCTTAGGATTGTTTATTTATTTTTAAATTAACCTAAAACTGGTAATTTAATTAACTGCCCATCTTATCGCTTTGAGACAATAAAATATTATTTCAAAAATACGAATGTCTTTAAAAAAAGTGTAATTTTTTTTAGATTCACAAAACACCATTGTCATTCATAATTTTCCCTTACGCGGTACATTTTTAAACGAAAATTCATGGTCGTTATTTCTTAAATTAACAAAATATTAAAATTAACTTAATAAACTTAACGATTTTTTCCAAAAACCAATGTAATTAGCACCACAATTTCTTATTCTCATGTTAAAAAATGTTGTGAAGATTTTGCAAAATACTTTGTTAAAAACTGATTCTATGTACAATATTGAAAAATTCATCAAACTCTATGAAAAAAACCAAGAAAATTTTTTACTTGTCAAACTTTCTTCCTAGACTAAGCGTAGACTATGTATCTATTTTGACAACTGAGAAGTTTCTTTTTCTTATTTTCATAAAATTTAACAAATTTTTAAAGATTTAATGCAGAATCATAGAACCCTGAACATTTTTATACGAAGGAATAAAAAAAATTAAGACATGTCAATAAATGGGTCGGAGAGTTGGATAAGAGATCAGGCAGATTATTTTCTATTTTGTCCGACCTCACAGGAAAGCAACCTTGCCTTGTACTTTAGACAAATAATATGCTCATCTCTCGGTGACACTCTCGCAGAAATTCGAGAAGGATAACAGAGAAAATTTATTGCCTTTAGACCAGAAGAAAATCCATTCTTTTGAATCGCTAATAAGTCCTATAGAAGGACCGACAAGAAGACTTTTCCTTAAACTTCCCTGTCAAAAATCAAATATGTGTACAGCGAGTCTCTCTAGCGAATCTAGCAACGTGTCATAATATCCAAAAGAGTCAATCCGTTCTCTTAGCAGTTAACAAAGTCTTCCATTTTAATAGTCGCACTTGTGCTCACTTGTGTATGTGTGTGTATCCGTACACCTATGTCTACCAACTGTGAAAATCAATATCGTAACTGAGCTAGGTGATAGTGGTTCTTTTATTTGGCTGGTATCTCTGTGCCAGTCACCCTTGGATCCATTGTGTTAAATCTACATTAAGTACTTCACACATGACCGTTCAGATAACATTTATGTTTAATATTACTTTATAAGCGTCGCTCATTGGTAAAAAATCTTTTTACAATATATTTGCGCGAATGGTTATTCCTCATTTTGTAATTCATTGTAATTGTATTAACGTTTATTACAGAGCAGTACCTTATTTCGACCGAACTATAGTTATAGCATTCAGTGAAGAAAAAAACCAAAGTCGAAAAAAGTAATTATAGGATTTTCAAATATTGACAGGATATCTATAGTAATAACAATAAAAGCGTTCATATTAAGTGGTAAACAGCATGTACTATAGTGAAAACATTAATAATTTGAGATAGCTACATGTCGTTTTTTAGTGCAACCTTAGTATTTTTCTATATTAAATATTTTTAGTGCAACCTTAGTACCTTCTATATTAAATATTGATACTTAAAAAGATTTAGCTTCTGGCGTATCGACACAACTACTTGCGATTAAATTGAAACAATGTTATCAATCCGAAATGCATACGTAATAAGAATAATACAGTAATGTGGAATAATAGTTTTGCTTGTTGTCTTTAAAAGAAAATTGATTGCGATACATTTATAGAGAAGAGACATTACATGATTCGTTGTTGAATTTTCCTTTCGGTGAATAAACAATTTATTGGTAATTTTTAAGAGCAAGAAGCATGAAAAAGATCATTTCGTTAAATTTTGTATTGTAAACGTTATTGTTTCAGAAGCGAGCAATCATTATTGACAGGATTTGTGCCATCATATAATAAAGAAAAATAATTTATTCATTCGATTGTAACAAAAAAAAACAAGCAGAAAGAGATTATTGTTTAGATCACTGTTTAATTGATTGATATATAGGTTTTTAAAATTTTGCAATATTTTTTAATGTTATCTTGTGTTTAAAATGAAATTCAAGCTTAAATCAATTAAGAAGAAAGCAAAAATTTGTGACCGTCAGAGCAAAAGCGCGTCAGCACAAAAGAGGATATCACTCCTACTTGAGAAAAGTGCAATCCTCGAGATCCGTGAAGTTGAAAAAAAAAGCACTCGACCCTCGGGTGTCGTTCGTCAGGAGAAAACGAAAAGGAACGAGCGACGTAGAGCACGCCCGCCTCGAAAAATTTTCTCCGCCGCGAGTGCTGCTTCTTCCTTGTGCGCGCATTGCGTCACGCTCGTTAAAAGTCCATAAATAACGTAAGTGAGTCCGGCATCTGCATTCCAGCGGCAGCTGCTGCATCCTTCTTTTTTTTCTCTCTCTTTGACCAACTTTTCTCAATTTCGGACTGGATATAGCCGAGTCTCAATGGATTATACTTTGTGTATTTGCCGCATGGAAAATAAAGCGTACAAGCTCTTTTTCTTGTGCAAGTTTTACGGGAATTAATTTTGCTTGTGTGCTCTTTGTGCAACAAGCTGCGTCCAAGTGCTTCTTTTGCCAGTCGTTCTCTCGAGAACTAGAATACAGACCTGCACAAATTAACCGGCTTTCGTGCGGACAAAGCGTTTACAGTTCGCGTGTATGTTTTTTGTCCAGCTGCGACAATCGGATTATCGATTTTAAGTTGGTTTAACGCCTACACGACGAGTTTTACTTCCAGAGAAAAACTTCTCCGACGCGTGCCCACGTTTCCTCTTGTTCATTTTGCAGCAGACATTTTACGCCGAGCTTATTGGATTACGGACTGTCCTGACTTTGCTTTGAAATTAAAATAAAATACGAAGTCTTGTAACAAAAGGACATTGCCGATTGAGAACTAGAGATCCATATGTACGTTATATAGTATACCTATCTAGGCTATAGCTCCGAACCACGATTTGTAGTTTAATCAATACTACTAGAATATCGTCGGTGCCAATAAAAATAAAAAATCAAAAGTCTTAGGCAGTCACGAATAGAGCTCTACGCAGTGGCAACTTTTGCCAGATGAGTTTTTGGATTCACAGTCGTCAAGTTGGTAAGAAGACGAATATATGTATATATATATATATATATATATATAGAGAGAGAGAGAGAGAGAGAGAGAGAGAGAGCAAGGGTCTTGTCGAAGCAACGAGTTGGCCTCTTTAAACTGTCCGCCCAGCTCGTTCGCAAGAAATGAATTCTCGCGATCGGATCAGATTCGATCGGCCGTCGATTCTCACGCTCCCTCTCTATCGACTTATCGCAGTAAAGGGCTTAATTCACTTCCTGTCTTCTTTCATTCTGAGATTACTTGACTCGAGCTTCTTTATAAACTTTCTTCGGTCTTGCCATTTTTTAATCCTTTGATTAGTTCACTAGCTGACTATTGACCGAAGAATTTGTTTTTGGCTATACTTTTTTTCTAATTTTCAATATGTGCGTGCTCATCAAACTTTCTACATTTTTTTTAGTTTACGATTACAATTTCAATATTTTTGTGGAGATCTCGTAGAAAAACGTTGTATTAATCATAATTTTGACTCGTAACTTTATGTAACATTGTATAAATAATGATTAACATTAATAATTAACCTATAAGGACTGTATTTTAGTAAAGGTAAATCAAGTTCATTAAAATCTAATTTTACAATAATTATTAACGCCATTAAATTGACCTAATATACACTTGGAACATATGAACATTTCTATAGAACATTTTATCTTTGTAATTTATTTTCTTTACTTTACGATTATTCATGTTCGTCACATCGATATTTTTTTTATCACGCAAATAAATAAACTACTACTCAACGATCGTGCTATACTGATGTGCTTGCCCCCTCTACAATTGACATGTGCGAGTGAGACAGACGATGTACTTTCTAAATCGACATTTAGATGGCGCGTCGCTCCAGCCGCTATGTAAAAGTAATAGGAGTCGCGCGTTCCGCAAGCAAAGTAGACCGGCGCAAGAGATAAGAGTAGCCACGGTAGCGGATGAAAGCATACTTACCTGGCGCAGAGGTTACCGTGATCAACAAGGCGGTTCCTCCAGGGTGAGGCTCTTCCATTGCACTACGGTTGAGCTGACCCTTGCGAATATCCCTAATGTGGGTATCTCGGGCGTATAATTTTTGTTAGCCGGGACTGCGTTCGCGCTATCCCGAAGTAAACCAATTCCAAAAATAAATTTCATTGTCACTCCACTGTAAATTTTTACAATTACAGTAAGACTAAATTAAAAATTACTCGGATTTCTTTAAAATGTCAGTGCAATTGTATATTTTGTGAACTCTCTATATAAGACATATCTGAAGAAAAAATGCTGAAAATATGCGACTTGTTTTATAAAAATTGCCACATTGAACAATCGATGTTCGCTTTATCGCGGAGAATGTGATTATGCCCTTGATAACGATAAAAGAAGATGAAAACAGCAAAATCCTTACTATTATCAATCTACGTATAAAATATATGAAAAGTCTATGAACTCTTGTTATCAATGTAAATCCTTCGATGTACTGTGAGAGCGCATTCATATTAACGTGAATTAAAGGAAAAGTAGACTTTCTAGTGAAAACAATTGAAGCTATACACAGATTTTCTATGAAAAAGCTATGGAAACATGAAATCACTTTTATATGTCATGAAAACGTTGAAATAATGGTCGCCTTAAAAGAAATGGTTTTAATTTACCAAAATAATTAATTCGATTTCGATAATTCAATATGGCTTCTTTAGTTCATTTGCAATAAATTATTTAAATAGTCTGTTGACAATATTATACTTTTCATCAATCCAACTATCAACTATTATTAATAATTATTAAGTATTATTTTATTTTTTTGTTACAGTCTTTTCTCGGATTTGAGAAGTTTGGCGGGTACAACCTTGATGAATTTGCTGGCTGCCCTTTTCATGGTACAACTGTTATTTATAGTCGGAGTTGGCGGTGTTCAAGTAAGAAATTTTCTCATGTGTATCTAAAACAGCTACCGAGCCAAGATAGAATAATCATTCTTAGGCGTTCTGATAAATAGTCCCTACACAAATAAAACTTGGTTTAATATTAAATATTTTCAAACCGTTTGCTTGTTTCAATCAAATAGCTTTAAATTTATTCTTTTCACTATCACAAATAATATTTTATGAGCTCTGAGCTTATTCATACTATAGATTTTTTACATTAAAACTTATAGCGAACTCGTATTGTCGAGATAGTAAATTAATTTGCGTTGCCTAACATTATAATTTGATACAGGAAAGTACGGGTAAAAAAAATGAGTCAATTCTAGCAGGTAGGAAGCGTCGCGAGTAGGTAAAAAAGAGCAAGAGGCACGTCTCTTCAATTTGCTCGCTTGAAAGCTTAGCCCTTTTTTTTTTATCTTGTCTCCTTCATAATGATGTGCAAGATAGTATGTCTCGCAGGTGCTCAGTGATAAAGTGACGAGGAATCTCGCTAAAGTACAAGACAGACAATCATCCGGTAAACTTAAAATACCAAAGATATTAACCTTTCGATTAAAATCTATCTCTCGATTTCTCGAAGAATTAGCTTTAATTATTTCATGTACAATTATCAAATCAAAAATCTAGGTGCATATTATTACATTTTGAAACATTTAATAATTTTTATTTTATTAAATTCCAACTGTAATTGTATGTTAAATTTATGTTTTGTAAGGAAAGTATGATTTTGAATTTATGCGACAATTTGAACAATTTTTTTAATTTCCATTATTCTGCCAATATGTAGTAATGCAAGTGCCGCATAACGATAATATTAAAATTAACAAAATTAAACTAGTTTCATCTTTCACTGGTATTAAAAGTAAAAAAAGTAACGCATTGTTATCTTTTATACGAGCAATAACACTAATTTATTCTTTCGCAAGGTTTTCCGTACTAACTATATTTCTCATGAACGTTGTCTTAGCAAGCAAGTTATACCGCGAAACTCTATGCATATGTAATGACAAAGTTGGCCCTTACATGCAGCCTCGCGTTCTAAGAAAAACGAGCTATAAAAAGGTTTACATGTCTTATACATTAGGTGGTACTTTCTCGTAGAACATTTTATTTGTTTTCCTCAAACAACCTTAGAGTTTGCTCGTTTGCAATTCAATCGCCGCAACAGATTTTCCTCAACTTCTTTATTTTGTTTATTGTGTTTATAAACTACCGCTATCGATGCTTAAGTTTTCGCAAATATTTTTCGAAGCTATAAAAATGCAAATTCATTCAAATCTCGCAGCTTGTATCCGATATCTTGCAATATACACGAGGGAAATAAATGCTTGACTATTGGCTTTGGCAATTCGAGCGAAACGAATGTGGATAGCCAATGACGCGTAGCTGTATCGTTGGATCATTTGCTTCTAACGTACGCGAAAGGACATTCCTACCGTCACTTCGGAATGCAATATCGAACGCGTGCTCGTGCTGCGACGGTTTCGGTATAATCATGCACCCTCGCATATATAATATTGTATATCCACGGAGTTTCCGCCGTAGAAAAATACAATTGTCAAACAGAAAACTTTATGTCTAAAAGATTCTAAAGCTTTCAACTCACAAATAACTTATTTGTTTTCCTTGCGTTTAGTTACGGAATATTACAAAATTATAGATTGAATACATTAACTAATGCATAAAAAATTAGAAATTACGTTTCGATTTCTAAAGCAAACCCTGGAAAATAAAATCAATATAAATATTATTACATTATAATTGTTTACGAGTGTTTTATCATCGACATAATAGCTGTTCGTGAAGCTTCGAGACAGTCGAGAGTGCTCGAGACATGTGTTTTCTCGAAAGACTAGCCAATTACACAGAAAAGGATGCTTTTTTTATGTATTGGCTTTGATTTGATAAATCAATTTTTCAGTTATTGCATAAAAATTGTTGAACAAATTGAAGAACCGATGAAAATATTATTTATAAAAAATTAATGAAACTTGAAATACATATACATACCTGTATTCATTTGTACCGTAAAGAAAATATAGATATACATAAAAATACGAAGTCGTTGAATAAGTCCATGATTTAGCAATGAAACATTATTTATTTAAATAATTCCAATTTATTTGTCAATATAATGCTCTTTTAACTTTATACATTTATTATAGTGGTGTTCAAACTTTGTTATGCTTTCTCTAAATAAAGTAATTTTTTTTCAAACTCCTCAAAATGCTTGTTCATTTGTCTTCGCAATGAAAATCTTACTCGCAAGCCAAGCTTTCATGTTAGAAAACAAAAAATAATCTAAAGGGGCCAAATCTGGAGAATAAGGTGGATGAGAAAGTATTTCGTAGAGTAAATCAAATAATTTGGCAGTTGTAATGGAACTCGTATGGGTGCATTGTGGTGGAAAATAATTTTTTCACGAAAGGGGGTCGCTATTCCTTTAGTATGGCATTAAATCAATCTAATAATAACGCATAATATTCCCCTGTAATAGTTTTATCCTATCTGTAAGTAATCGATTGATATTATACCATTTGAATCTCAAATTTAGTGGCCATGACTTTCCTGGCTGATCATGTCGTTTTCGTTTTTTTTGATACGGGTTCGCCTGGCTTAGATCACACTTTCGACTGATTTTACGTTTCTAGCGTACAATAATGAATTATGTTATATCAACGGTATCGTAACGCAAAAACTCATGTTAAAACAATGTAATTCGCTTTGTTTGAAGTATGGTAAACTGCTTTAATAAATAGAGACATGAAAGTAAATTTTATTAAAGTTGAAATATATGTGACAGATACGTACAAAAGTTTACATTGAAGTGAAGAAAAAGTTTTTTCTGACAAAAACAATGAAAATCCAGTTGTCTTAGCAATGATAGACTGCAAATCATTCGAGAATAAAAGGACATATACTCGTATACGTAGAGTTTTATTCTTAACGACTCCTTTGGATTGCATTGAAACATGCTCAAACATTGATGAGACACAACCACACGAATTTGCTTGTTATCAAATGTGAGCAAGTGCCGCATCCATTTTGCAGACAATTTCCTTGTGCCCTCACATTTATATAAAATATTCAATGTACATCCCATTGAACTGCTTAAATCCTTACTAATGTTACACACTTTTAATCAACGATCGGCGAGTACAATATCATGAACTTTATCGATCATAGCCTGAGTAATCGGTTCTTTTGGACAGCTTCAGCAATATTCAGTAAACTACTTTTGGACTATGCCATGAGATGGAGCAGAATCTTCATAATATTTTCTGAGCTTTTCTTCAATTTCATGAATTAATTTCGCTTTTTTTCATGCTTTTGTGTACGTATTGAACAACTGAATTCAGATAGTAGAAAAATATTTCCAAACTAACCTACTAAGTTAAAACTTTGTATACACACTCATATTACATGAAACTGTCTTGGAATATAAAATACGTTACGATAATTGCACTATCTTTTGAGAAGTCACGGACTTATTGAACTACCCTTGTTTTTGTACACATTATATGTGAATCTGTAAATTCGAACAGAAAACTTTTTGTTATATCAACAACAGTCGACTAGTGTCGTTGAAGGGATATTTTTATTTGCACAAGCTGTATACATATTTTACCTAAAGCTCTGATATTTCTGTATAGCTCGAAGTCGTTTTCCTAAAAGTCGAATTATGTCAAACGTGTCGTTGTACATTTGTGAAATTGTTCCTCTCTTCTATTCCATTAAATTTGGATTATCTAAAAGAATGAAACTGAATTCTAAAAGAGCAATCTACTGAAATTACAAAAAATTAAATTGAAAGTAATCGAACAGATGTGTAGTAAATTGTTTTTTATATAAATGACAAAGGTGTTCACGAATGATATACAGGCAATGCATGTGGTTCGTCGATCAATTTTCCATTCGTTTATCGTACAATGAAAGCAAGTTTCGCGTGTTCTGTTATGTTACGCTTTTCGAACATTGTGCTTCATATTTTCAGCGCTTTTTTACTTTTTTGGCAAAGTGACGGGCAAAACTAAACTTAGTAACAACTTTTAAGGAATATTTATCACAGCTGCCTATGTAGAATGCTCGTTTAGTTTAACAATGCTAAAAGAAACACATAAACGTTGATTTGTAGAAAAGACTTTTGCCAGCTATTAAAACATTATTTCACTTATTACCTTTCCTTTTGTCTTTAACCTAATCACTTTTGTTAACACTCAGGAATTGATGTACTTCGAAGTCATAAATTATAATGATGTACTTATATGCGATCAATATATAAAACTATTCCAATGTTAATATGAACACGAACGAGCTAATAAGTAGTTAAAAGCTCCGTCGGGGTACACAGACTACTAAAGTTCGTACAAAATTGCACACTGTTGAAAAGCTCAATTATGCTTCACCAGCCGCTTTCCACAGCAGTTTACAGCGATAGCGCCATGTATACACACTGAACTCAGGTAAAAGCACGTAATGTTAACTTTCAAGTGCTACTATTTGAAAGTTTGTGCTCGTTGTTTCAGAAGCTCTATTTTTAGTTTATTTTATCATTAAATTTTCTGATACGTTGGTTAGTGTACTTGTTAAATTGATAAGCATTTTTTCGAGGATAATTTTTTAATTTAAAAATAAAAATTCTGATAATCTTTTCGTTATATACAGCTAATTATTCACTCCATTTTCAAAGACAAAAACATTCGAAATCCTTGCCTCCGAGTTTGATAATCAGTTTACTTTTATTTAAAAGAGTGATATTGAGCAATCAGCTCTACGTATGACCTCGTTGGAAAATCTTTCATGAAATTTGATATTAGATCTCATATAAGATCCCATATAGAATCCCACGTCATTACAAATGCTTGATTTCATTAAAATTCCTTCAATGTGGGATTCAAGAAAAGGAACTATACTTCTAAATTCCCATTAGGGATCCCATATAGGATTCTAAAAAATGAATGTTTTTGAAAACTCATAAAATTTCAAAGAAA